GATTGACTGAATAAAAATGATAATAAAGTGCCAATTGATATAGTGTTTCAATTTTCCGATGAGTTTTATGGAAATATCTTCAAAACTAAAAGAGATAGCAAAATTTCTGTCTAAACTTTTTTTATAGAGCTAATCGAGAGCTGCCAAAAAGATATAGACAAAAATTTCGCCATCTCCCTCAGTTTCGGAGATATTCACTTCCGTTTACCACATGGTAACTGTTGGATTGGAAATTTGTAAAGTTTTTGACGTTTTTAATCAAGATGCCCTTTTGATTCCAGCAATATGCCTCGAAAAATCCTGACCAGAGTCACGTGGTGGAGCAGATGAACATGAAATTCTTCTACTACACACGGACCCAGGGCCTCTTCAGGATATGTTACCCCAAGGAGCGTCCACCAACAGGTACTTATCAATTTTCAATTTTTCATTTCGCTTTACGTAATTTCCCTGCTGTTATATATTCGTATCACGGATAAATTTGAAATAACGTATTCCGTTAATTTTTCTCTCGCTTCATATGCGCACCAAGCCGGATCCACACCGTTAACACGAATGTAAATTACTTAATTGCTGGTTAGCGGTCCTCTATGCCCAGTGCAGCTCAAACTACTTCACTTTTTTCTTTCTAATTGTCAAGTTTATCATTGCAGCTTGGAACGAAGATATTCCCCGAAGAGCTACAATAACCGGACAACTTCTTTATAAATCATTGAGGATGTTTTATATCCATTACTCTCAGAATTCAGTAGCGAAGTGGTAAACTAGGATAAGTAAAATTTTTTCGAGGTCCGTTTTTAGCCAATATCTCGGAACTGAAGGAACATAGCCAATTTTCTGAGTAAACATTTTTTAGGGAAAAAGAGAAGAGCTACAAAAAAGGTATCTTTGAAAATTCCAGTATCTTCCTTCAATTTCGAGAAATCGAGTGAAAACTAGCCGCGAAAAAATGCATATATCCTAGTTTACTCTCAAGTCCTTATAATCCTTATAATCACTCTCTTCAAGTTCGTGATTATTTGCAAAAAAAATATTGATTTTTCGGCTAATTCTTGACTCTTGTAATTATTATATAATGAAATAAGAAATATAAAGAGTCCATTAGCGGATACGGGAATGCAGATATCTTGAAGTGAAGGCATCAAATGATCTCTTGACATTTCTCTCCTTTGAAGAAATGACATAACATTCCGTTTATAGAACAGGTTGGGCAATGATGTCTCTCCAAAAGCCATTAATTTAATTCTCATATAATTATAATTGACACGACTTATCCCGTAAACGCATTCTCGAAACTGTCATTTTGAGTAGACATTTACCGTTTAGTGACCGAGAGTACCTTATCAGGATTTGGCATACCTTTGAAGACATCCGGCACGTAGTTTCCGGTGACTAGTAACTACTCATGATACACCATAAATGATGGCCCCAGCTCTGTGATTAAATGTTGGGCTGTTATTTCTACTACCTTTTTGCTAGTCTATTTACATTATGCAAGAGAGTTTCCCAGCCCAACGCCTACCACCACTTCGATCATTGCCTTCTTTAACTCCCACTGTTTATTAATTTTTCTCATTGTCTTTATTGTTTTTTTTTAATTGTTCCAGTGCAAACCTATCTCAGCCCTGTTGAGACCCATTGCATGAACATCGATTATTTCATTCCTGATGAGGATAATGAGACGAGAGGATTCTCAGAGGACGCCATGACTCGACTGCGTAAGTCTTTCAATCAAGAATTTGTTTATTTATTTTTTTATTCCTGGAAAGCGAAAAAGTTTGGGAAAATCGCAATTCTGTAGAAAATTTTTTAGCGATTTGTAGATTTTTGTGATTTGAATGATATTGAATTTTATTTAGAGAAGAAAAATCATGACATTGAAAAAATTTGGAATCTCGAATTTTTGAATTTGGAAATTTAGGGGAATTTTTGAATTTGGAAATTTAGGGGAATTGCTATTTTTTTAGCGGCAAGAAGATGAATTGCTCGACTTCAAGGTCTTCTGGTGATTTCTAATGATTTCGTGGAATGGCAATTTCCTTCAGGAAAATGTGCTACTCATCCACTCGTTGGAAAATATTTCTATGGTTCACTCATTGTCGAGATCGTTGAACTTTTTAACAGGATGAAAACTTT